TACGGCCAATCCCAAATCTGTTAAACGAAGTTTTCGCAGAAATAATAGCGATGCAGTTTTTCGTTGATCCCTGCTGCCCCGAGTAATCCTCGCGGATACGAGCCTAGACAAAACTCGACGTTACAGTAAACGACGTCAAGAAGTACGAGTTCCTAGTGCGAAACGAGGAAGGAAATGTATAGTGCCTCAATGAGTGTAAACAAGACCGTACTGGAACAACGTTGTAATGATTTTTTTTTTAATCGAGAATATTATGTATGTCATTACTTGAAAGATAATAGTTTTAAAGTTACCTTTATCGAAATTGATTACATGGTGTTTTCCGAATTATTATTAATATTGTTTTAATTTTTTCGTTATATCCATCTATGGAGTTATTTACCAGAAAGATAACATTTTTTTTATTGTATTGACTAGTATTGTAGTACATTTATATTGCATGGCAAGTTTTTATAGACATCACTAAAACCTTCTATTTGCAAAAATATAAAAGAAAAAGATTGTTTTTTTTTTTTTTTTTTTTTAATAAAATTTCAAATAAATTTTAACAGTTTGTACAGACGAGCGTTTTCATAAAAAAAAACGTTTAATTTAAAAACACGTCATAAAGTTTAAATAATGATTGATATTTACAGTTTATATTTCCAATAAAATATCATATTTTTACTTTTTAATCAAAACAAATCCTCAAATGTGATTTTTTTTTTATGGAAAAATTCATTTATTATTTTTTATTTCTAAAGTTTAAAACAACAAACATCGTAATTGTTTTTTTTTATTTGACACATTATTGAACTAGATTTGTTTTAAATGATTGAAAATACAAAACAACGGGCACATATATTCAAACGAAACACAAATCTGAATGAATACAAAATTTAGTTTCACACGCACGTGGTTGAAAGTGATTAAAAGTGCGTTGTATAAATATTGTATTGTCCGTTACCCAACGAAGAACTATACAGTATACTATATAAAATTAATCGCAAAATCAATTGCAGGGCACTTATCACGCCAAGGCTGACTTAGACACTAAGTACTCGGACGGATAATAATTATAACCATTATAGATTGCGGTAGTCGTGGTGTATTTGGCAACTTTTCCTTATGCGACTGCATCCCATATGGTACGTTAAAAAAAATATCCTTTCCATTATTAATTAATTATTTCCGCGTGAAACTATTCGGTAAACACCATGAGCAGTACGTGTCACGATGTTATAAGATCTGAAAAAAAATAGTTTTACATATTGTGCAGCTTTGATCGCGTAAGAATTACCATCCAATTTGCCGACGGTAAAATTTGTACTGTATACTTTCCTCGATGATTTGATGGCGATAAATCATGTGTAATCGTCACACTCGTATGATGACAGCGTAAGTTTTACATGCGGTTGTCCCGGTCCGCACCTTTTTTCAACAAAAATAGATGAAATAGACAATCAAGCTAAAACTGTCAGAGCCAGGGTCGTATTTGGGTGGGGGGGGGGGGATATTGGTGTTAGAACACCCCCCATCGACCATATTCTATGGTATTTCATTAAATAACAAACTTACTTACAGTACAACTCGAATAAACGTTGTATACAACTTGTCAACTTGTCGATTTCACATACATGTTTTAATATAATCATTTTCATTAGTATAATAATTTATATAAATACACGGTATTTATTTATGTAATATAGGAGGGGGGCAGAGCCTCCTACTTACCATAAGTCTATTAGATTTTAAGACACCCCCGTTAAATGAATCCTGGATACGCCACTGGTCAGAGCCGCTCGTCTTCACTACGATTCTCGTACGGGATCTATCGTAGGTGAAAACAAATATTCTTCGAAACTTGTAATAGTTTATATACAAACGTAATCATTTCTTTCATTTTTTTTTTTTTTATAAATTAGTTTTTACCGAACGCGGAAATGTGAGAGAGCATGTCAGCACCGACGTCGGTATATGTAAAAGTATGCGTTATATAAACTTACGCTGTTTAACCGATGGTTTACGGACACTCGTTGACTGCAACGTGCATTTAATACCGATCTTCAATCGTAAGCTTACTGCTGTACACGCACCCGGTTATTTATCGCACGCGCGCTCGACGACTGTTTTTTAATATTTAATTTTTAATCTCGGCGCGTTCGTTTTCCCCGCGGCACAGCTCTTCCGTTGGCGTCGAAATCACGCGCTGCGCGACAACAACGCGCCCTCGGCGCGAAGCGTGATGGTATATCATGCAGGTATACTACCCTGGCCTCGGCGAGTCCCCGAAATCTCATCGTCCCGTGATTGACGAACGCTCGTGTCTAGTTGTTCGCGTGTAACAAAGTCTTACACAGATGATTTGTGTATTGCGCTGGTCGCGTGATGGGATTAAAAGATCCGGAATCGTATGAGTGTTCAACCGTACTTCGGTTTTAAAAATCAGTTTGAAAATTATTTCGATTTCCGTTTCGCAAAATCATATTTACGAGGGGTGTTGATACACGAAAAAAAACTTCGTAACGGTTTTGATTTACAGTCGATTTCCATAAAATAAAATATATTATTGGCCCCGCGACAGCCGGTTACCGGAGGGTACATCGTGTTTGGTGTTCATGCGTCGATATCGAGGTACAACGGCCGAACTATGAATTGGTCACGTGAAACAATGTGCATCGTCTTGAAAATACGTATCGATTTTAATGACCGCGGGAACGTTAAGATCGATTTATTCAACGTTGTATAGAAAAACGAATACAATTTTTTTTATTTTTTTTTTCTTGACGGTTCGATTTTCAAAGGCGATCGTTTCGGATCCGGATATCGAAAATCGATTTTTAACGGTTTCGCTGGGCTATGCTGCGAACGTCGGTGCCGGTGCACCGCGTGCCGTGCAGCAGGTGTCGCGGCCGGGTGTTCGGGTAAAGGATTGCCGCGCACGGAGGCGCACGTGACTTCGGGCTACGAACGGTGCGCGCAGTGATTGACGATCGACGCGGCACGCTACGGGTGGGCGCGCGTGAGCCGATGCTGATGCGATGCCGCGGTCGACGGGAAACGAAACTCCGCCGGAGCGAACGACGCGCGTGCACGAAACGCGTTCGGGGTAATCAGCGCGGGTTAGATGATCGGTAACCATCGCGAGAACAATTGTGGTTGTCATTTTGATCGCGAATCGTCGCGCGCGCCCTCCTCCCACGCGCGTCCTAACGTCTCACCCGCCCACCGGCGAGTCGTTGCCGGGACGCGAACGTATCGTTTATCCTTGTGCGAGAGGCGAAAAAGCAATGAAACCTATAGCAGCTTGTTGTCCGGCAACGCTAAAGGCTTTTCGTTCGATTGGTTCCGTAGACGTACACCGCGTATGCCTTCAACACGAACTTTGACTCTTCGGTGCCCTCACCTGTTGCCTTCGTAAACCCGTTCATTTTTTTTTTTTTTTTTTTTTTTCTTCCTTCCGAAAACGAGTAACAACGGTTTTCAGCGACGATTTCTTACGGAACTTGGACGCGGTTCGACGGCAGATTTTAGAAAGCTTCGAACGGCCCGCGGAGATGGAATGCCATTAAGAACCCAGGTTTTCATGCGGTCCGAGGCGTTTCCGGGAGGCGGAGAGTTGATTGAAAATGAACCTCGCGGCGGAATGCCTTCGACGTAAAGAGTATGTTTCATGTAGCTCTTTCAAAACCGATGTTTTACGAATTTATTACATCGTACATATTTCGAAGTGACGGGGGGGGGGGGGGCTGAACCGTTTTTCGAGGGCTAGAACATCCCCTTGTCCCTCTTGGTGCCGCGTCTCGCGTAATACGGCAGCGCGCTCTGTGCACTGAATCGTGTACGTTCGATGCGGCCGCGAGATACGACCACACGATGGCGCTGACGGCAATAATCGCGTAACAATATGTAAACAACGTTTTCGAGAACGTGCCACTCGCCGAACAAAATAATCACTCCATTTCGAACAGCGACCGCACGCATTTATTGCGTTAAAAAAATGAATAATATTAATAATAATATTCGAATAAACTATAAAATGTCATTAATAATTTTGTCGCTATATAATATGTATATATATATTTTTTTTTTTTTTTTCGAATACAAATCTTTATCTCTTAACTAACTTACATTTTTTCCATAATGAATACATTAAATATAATTAGCCTTATTTACAAATTACAAAAATGATGTATACTTGTACTCCGAATCACAATATTAAGTTGGTAATATGGTAAATAACTATTTACAGGACATCTATAATTTATAAATTTAAGAACTATAAGGAGTCCTATTACAGCAATTAGTTTTAATTTCACTAGTAATAATTACAATTCATAATTTTTTAAATGTTAATACAACATACAATTAAGAATAGATTATTATATATTTGTTATGAAATATATTAAATATCAAAAATAATTTAAAGCTGATATTTTGTGATGTTAATTTATAAATATTTAAAATAAAATTAACTAAATGATATCTAAAAATTAATTTTCTCTCACAGTCCAACGAAGGAGTATGATAAAATATATGATAATATACAATATTTTTAAAGGTATACATTTTAAATTGTTTAAATGTTAATAAATTTATTATTAATAGTTATAATAATTTTTATATTTTCAAAAATTAATTGTTTATTGTCTTAAATGTTGACGTAGTAAGTCTGTTGATGAGGACAATATCATTGTAAATCATGGCCATACTGGAGAAATCAATCTTTTTTTTCTTTGTTTTCTAAAATGTTATCAATCAAATTGATATTTAGTAATAATTGTTAACAATATTTTCTATATGGGTAGACATTCAATACTAAAATATTTTTGTAATAATATTTAAATATAATAAATTAAAATATCGGTACTTCACTATAGTTTAATTTCTGTAGTAAAATTAGTTAAAATTAAAATTTACAACATTTATAAGTCACTTATTTACTATTTTTTATGAATATCAATTTTTTTAAATCATAGAGATTTTAAATTTTATAAAATTAAATGCATCTAGTTTCTTACATTTCATGAGGCGAGTCTGTTGACGATGATGACAATGGAGTATTTTTCTTATAAATCACGGTCGTTCCTGCAAAATCGGTCTTTATATATTAGTTTTCTAATATATTTTGAAAATCATTTACAATTATTGCTGGTAACATATTATTTATATCTATTTTTTTATACGTAACATAATTTCTGTGAATAATTATGCATTGTAGTCACCACTAGCTGTTAATTTTTACAACTGACATAAAAAACTCTCTTAATTTACAAAGTACCGAACCAACGTGCTCCACTCTCACGGATGATTTTGCATGTTAAAATAAACGTAGGTAAAAACGTTCAAGGGGTTTAATAGGTTAGTAAAATATTTTTTAAATAAGAATTAAATATTAATGTTAAAACGAGGCTTTAATTATTTTCCATAAATAGTTATTAAAAAATTACATTGCTGTATAATAACTTTATCGCCAGTCACTACTTTTAAGTCATTTATCAATCTTCTGGTTACATTTTTACACAAGCGGCTGTCAAACTTTTTTTCAATTTTGTAACCGTTATAGGTAGCTATTATAAAACGCTTTAATTGAGGGTTGCCATACGTCCCAGTTAATCCGGGACAGTACAGATTTTGCGTATGGCATCCCGGTGTCACGATGATATGTTTCAGGACAGCTAATTGTCCCAAAACGAGACTTCAGAAATGTATGTTTGTATCTTATCAAACGCTAGATTGAAAACCCATAATATCATTGTCATGATATAGTACAATGTTGAATAATTGACTAACGTAATCTATTTTAAATTACTTTCCCCGACTAAATGACGAATATTTTTGTCATATATTTTCTACGTGTTTCCGTTCCCTCGCGATAGTTGTAGTTATCGCTAAACGAATCAACCATTATTTCATATTTTGTCAGTTACAGCAATCAATCACTACAGTGTAGTACTGTAGCGTAGAGTATTCATACTGAGGTCAGCGTTAATTTCAGACTTTCTATCCCGTGGTTAGGTTAGTTAGGTTAGGTTAGTGTGGTATGCTGCGGTATGTCATAAGATTAAATAATTAATAAATAAATATATTTTTGTAATAATTGTAATGTCAGTAAGAAATTTATTTTTTAAATTAGTCACGGTTTTTGCCAAATAAATTATAGTAACCCTACTTTAAGTACCACTAGAAATCAAAAACACTAAAATAATGATAATTTATATGAAAAATCATCGAATTTAATAATGAACTAATTTTCTGACGAAATTTTCACGGAACTCAGTTTGAAAACCACTATTTAAATAATATTTAGTTATTTATAATTACGGTGTGCGTGTAGGAAATCGATATCCACCGTATATTTAATGTTTTTACGTAAAATTTATCGTAGAAGTGTCATAATTTTCGACTAAATCTACAATATAAAATACTTTTAAAAACTAAATGAATACGCATTTTCAGTTCAGCCAGATAGAGCAGGGGTACGTACTCGATGCTCCAACTGATTGACCCATTCGTCGTCTTCGCTGCTTAATGTTGAACCATCTTCAAAATTAATTTTAGAATCATCATAGTCATCCATTTCAGCGCATAATTGTCTAAACTGCTCTTTCACTAATGAAGGCTAAAGTCACAAGTTCAATACAAATGTTGATATATTTTAAATGGCCATTCGGTAACAATAATATGTTTTGTAGAAGATGCGAGCCCTGTCTACTATTCATAATATTAACTTTTAACTCACTTGAGTGAATGTTTTTAACGCTTCCATGTCTCTTTGCAATATTTTGTTTACATCTTCTAGTTCTATTTGATACCGGAATATTAAATCTGGGTTTGATTCAATGTTTTCCATCCAGAATGGTTGCTACAATAAATATGAATATTACGCGAATTCAAAATAATTTTACGCAAAACGCACTTACCCTTTTAATAAACTGATCGGTAAATTTGCTTTTATTAAATTCAGATGGCCAATCCTAAAAGTGTTTAAATTTTTAATTATATTTATACTGAGATACGTGTAATTATTTATTCATTGTTTAAGTTTAAAAATATTGTCGATATAACTTTTAAAATATAATTCGTATAAATTCATTAGTTTTATCAACTGAAAATTATTACGTACCAAAATAATAAATTGCTAAAATCTACTGTATTGAATTCATTAAAAACATACTGTGAATGCATTACTAATTGATTATGTTATTTGAAACAAAATAATAGATTATCTCGATAATAACATAATTAAATGAAAATAAAAGTACATCGTTTTATACTAACTTCACGATCACTACTATCGGTTTTGTCGCGCAAACTTAAAGAATAAAAACTACTGTCTTCATACGAGTACAACCGTCCATTACTGTAAATGAAAAAAAACAAATTATAATCACTTATACTTATGTTTGGTAATAGTAATGTACAAAATAACCTAGATTTGAAACTGCCAAATTCTCTTTTAAATTCTGAATCCGAACTTGTTATGATTTCTTCTTGATTTACTTGGAAAGCTTGTGACTCTGTCGTTTTCTTTTTAATCATCGCCATAGTTGTAAAAAAAACAAAAATAACATCATTAAATCATCAAATCATAAACAATTTTATAATTAAATAGATAATATTGGATTTTAAAAGAGTAATTTACCTAAATTTAGTTTCTTTAAGTATATTATATATTTATATCACAATACTAATGTGAGTTTAATAACAAAAAAATTACATTAAAAGGAATATAAATAAAATTTCTGCAAAATTTCTAGTTTTATTTTAGTAAATGAAAATATTTTATGATTTATATGTTTTTATACATAAATATATAATTAAAAATATATACATTTTTTATATTAATTTTGTAATGAAGTGCATCATTCGGTTGTAAAGACGGCACAAATATTTTATTATGTATACTATTTATATGTACGTGATTTTTAAAACCATTTCAAATAAATAAATAACGGTATCTTCGATACCCGCACGAACAACACGGATCGAACAATAAATACTATTGACATCCCTACATTCAAAGAACCACCCAAGATCCATGCCGCCGCGTGTCCCTATATAACAGGAACACACACCACCCTTCACGGAGCTCTTGATCATAGGTCGTCAGTGCATGCGCACCGATTGTAAGATCAACGAAGAGTTTATATGTGCGATTTATTTTGACTTATAATTTTAATCCGTTCGACTTGTGTTTTTCGTATGAGTATTGAAGAGTATCCGGATCCAGTGCAATTAAATTCTGCATTTGTCCTTTTTCTTTCAACCTCACATCGACATCTGAAGGTCTACGGCAAAATAAGTAAGTGCTGCTTTATTTAGCTTGGCAGACTGTACAATTGAGCTGATCGGCTCTCGAACCTTCTCAACCTTGAAAGCCCTTCCTTAAACAAGGAGGAAGGTAACAACCCTTTAATACATTAATACCTCACCGCCTCACATATATACCATCTCCCCCATCTTACATCTCATTCTTACTTCTCCTATTTTATTTTTTGTATTTTTGGGTTATTACAATTTATATGTTTTCTGTTTTACATAGGATACATAATTGTATCTAGTGCCGATTCTAAAATGCCCCGGTCCCCATATTCTCATAATTCCTTAATTTCTCCCTCGCAACGAAAAGTTAGTATTTATCCTGATTGCATGTAAGAACAATTACCTATTATTGATAAAATATTTCTAATAAATAATAATATTAAGTTTTATCTATAACGTTTTCATGACTTTGTTAAATATTACCTGGTAGAATACTGAATGTACATTTGGTGCAGCAGGAACTTGAAGTTCGCTCTGTGGATTAACCGTTTGTTCAAATTGAATACTCTGGGTTGGTTGTTGTAAAAGTAACTGAAAATTATCATATTTATTCGTGGTTTTCATTCGTATACTGTATGCATTTAATAAATTTCACTGTACATTATTAAATAAATTCAAACCTGGTTTTGATAGTAAAAATATGGTTGTAAGATTTGGGAATTTTGAGGAATATGGTTTATCATAGGCACTGTTGCATACAATGGTATAGATAACGATTGAAACAGGTTTGTTATCGGATCTGTAAATCACATATTTTATATGATGAAAAATTATAATTACTTATCATAGTAAATATATTAAAAAAAAAACTATCAATCAAACTAAAAAAAAAAAAGAAAGACAATGCAAACATCTAAAGTCTTATGTTAATCGCACATAAATATATTACATTACATTTGTCATAATTATGCTATACCAATATCCCATTAATACACATATTAATTTTTTAATTTGTTTTTAATTAAACGCTGATTAACTGTTATGTACTAAGCTAATAATTGCAATTCATAAAAAACTTATTTCACTAAAATTCTAATCATTAGTTAAAAAAATAATTTAAATTAATGATCATTTATTGGTATAATAATATTACAGAATGGATTACTGATTTTTTCTATTTGATTTAAGTATTTACCACACATTACACACTTACTAATAAATAATAATGCTTTGTATATAATGAATGTAAAGAAGCCAAATATAGTTATAACTTTCTTAGTATTTTTGGTACATACTGTTTATCTATTATGTAAAAACGGAGGATTTTTATACCAATCTATAAAAATTAAGAAACGTAACTATTGTTTGATAAAAATAATAATGTATAGCATGCTCAGATGACTTTTAATAGATAATAATAATAATACAATTTTTATCAGATGACCTCCAATGGCACTTGTTTCAATATTGATAATAGTTGATAATAGAATAGACGAAATAATAAAATGATCAATATTAAATTAAATTCTACATATTTATGGTAAAAATTAATATCAGTAAGAATAAAAAAAAATGGATTAATAGTTAATTGACCCTGCACTGGCAAAATAATAATTTAAAAATAATAATAGTTACACTGACGGTATAATATTATGCGAATGATAATAAAATGTATGCAATAATAAGGCAGTTTGGTCGATAAATATTAGCATAGCTATTTAGGCACATCACTGGCTTAAATTGTCGCATCGGAATCCATAGATAGTAAAAAAATATATTAAATAAATACGGATAGGTTCTGAGGGTGATATACAGTAATAGATGACTGATGTAGGTACATTGTTTTTATTCATTGGATATAAATGTCCCATTGATTTCGAAAACGGATTAAGACAAAAAAAAAATCGACCCGATAAATTCTAGTCTAAATTTAATTAATGTTACCCCATTATTACATAAAAATGTCCGTTATAAGGTTGATTAAATCAACAAAAAAATAATATACATAAATGTTTACGTTTTGAACTTTGATTAAATTATTTTATTTCTAATTCGTTTTTCGAAACCCATTACACAATTATTTCAAACGTACAAGAACTAAAGTCACCTGTTACTGTATTTCATTCGACTTCTGTAACCTTACCCGGACCCAGTGACGTAAACTGGTTGGTACAAATGTGGCACTTACAAGAACACATCTAAAATGTGGTGGAGCAAACATATGTTTTTGCACCACCAGAAAATCATTGAAAATTTTCAAGAACCAAGAAAATGAGCATACTAAAAACAAAATTTGATTGTTTTTTTTATTAATATTATAATAATAAAGGTTCTTATGTTAAAATAATTCAAAATTTATTTGTTGTTTAAAGAAATATATGGGAAAATATATAATTTATTGGGAAGAATTTTACTTAGAAAATTGGAAAATTGGTGTGTTGGAAATTATAAGTTGAGAAAATACTTCTGCACCACCAGAAATTGGATCCAATTTACGCCACTGCCAGGACCCATGTATCTTCGTGCATACTTTTTATTATACTATTAAATCATTAACTACGGATCCCGTAAACAGTAACAAGGATGTAAGACCCGTCGTCTGTTCCAACGGTTATGTGAGTACGATTATTTGACCAAATTGTTTCATTATCCAATCAACAAGTTACTATTCCCCTATTATAATGTACCTTGATTTTGTTCACACGGATTCTTTGTAGCATATGTACCTTCAAACTCATTGACTTTCGTAGAAATAACATTATTACCAATGGATGAACTATAGTAATGTACTTGATCTGTTAAATCTGGCATTAGTCTGGATAAATCAACCCTGAAATTTCAAATATTAATATTGTTAGCGTTTCGTGATGTCCATAACTCAAATTTAAACAAATTGAAACAAAAATACTAACGTTGTCTGAGAATCTCGTGTAATTTGAGAAGGTGGCCAAATCTGCGTTGCTCTAGCCACAGTATGCGTAGCCGCTACAATATTGTTTGCGTTGTCTTGTGCTTGCGTGACAACAGTAGAATTGCTGTTTTTAAGGTGTTTCTTTTTGGTGAGCTTATATGTGTCACTTTCGTATGCACTCGAGTTGCTACGTTTAACACCATGAATAATATTGTTCTGAAAAATAAAAACATTACAATTGTATAGGAAATTGAATATAATTTTACATCTTATTTACAATCATTTTAGTTTCTTCGGGAACATTTTGTTTTTGTACTCCACTATATTTATTTTTTTTCGTATTACTTTTGTGTTGTTTGACAAGATCGTCCTCCATTATTTTATTGTGTCTGAAAATCAAATAGTTTCAATTATAAATTATAACATAAATTAATTCAATAGTATTTTTTTTCTATCGAATTTTGCTTCAATTACCATTGATTACTGTTATAGTTTAGTACTATTGAATTTTTAAATAAGCAACGTACTATGTAAATATAATTAAATATTTTTCAAACAGATATCTGAAATATCTTACTGTAATAATATTTTTTGAGTAAGCGGTTGTTGACTACTTTTACTTGAATTTTGTTCTGAATAACTTACAGAAAAATTATTGATATAAATATTTGAACTTGGTGTTAAATTTTGAAGTAATGTATCCGACTGACTATTCTCCATATCACTATACCACAAGACATATTAATCATTTTTATATCATTAATTAAATATTTATTTTAAACGGTTTTTTTATTACTAACACGTCGAAAAGAGTATCGATATCCCTTGAGGCTTCTTTAAGATAACTTTGATCGGTCAAATCTTCAACTGAATTCGTTTTTAGATTGCTATTAAAAAATCTAAACGCAATACATAGTTATACCCAGTAAATTGTGTGTATGGTTTTATAATTAATACAAAATTAAATTTGAGCTGTAAACCTTGGCGCAACTAGGGAACAAGGAAATGTCGGGACACTACTGTTTAATAGCATCCATTAAGAATGAATTCAATACATTTAAAAATGCATAGTTTGGGATTACATTTTTTAAATTTAACATTAAGCAATCTTTCACCGAGAAGTCTAGTTACGCCAATAATTGCAAAGAAAAGATCATAGGTTAGAAATTTGTTAAACGACATGGAAATTGATCATAAAATATGCCGGCTCGACAAACAGATATCAGCCGACTTTTCATAAAAAACTAGTCGCGTCTAAGTTAACGAATTGCATCTGCATTTTAAATAGTACACGTGTGTAAGCACAAACAAGTTTATTAGAGTTATTATTTTAGGCGTTCAACGACCATACTCATAGGGATTCTATATGTTTTTTAACAGAATGTTCAGTCTGATAGCAACAATAAAGTAGATTACGAATAATTATACAAATGTTCAGAATGCTATTTTTTTGTGCTGTACAGTCTTTGAGCAATAATAGGACAGTTTAGTGGTTATTTTTTAAACACTTTACGTGAAATACGTTGATATGCGTTGGATTTAATGAGAAAAATGTACTTATTGTACAAACCTAATACGCCATATTAATTCTAACTATTAGGTACAGAGTTAAGACGGGACAAGTCTCATGTATTATAATCAGGCCGTTTCGGGACGCAATTCATTTGCTCGACGACCAAGAGACTCGTTCGACTATTCGAATACCCAGTCCTATGTCCGGTGGCATATTTTTGAAAATACTGAAATCTGATTATGATTGAAGAATATCTGTGTATAGTTACCTGCACTCATTGATAAACAATTTATTTTGTTATAAGTACAGAATGGAAGAAATCGTTGTGTAAATATGTTTACTAACATATTATTGTATTGGTCGAAAGGAACAGCAATCAAATAAAAGTTGTATGCAAAAATATACACGGAAAATACCTTTGGATATTGTTGTTATAATTAAGTTGAGTATAACTCGGTGGTGTTTCTGAGCTAGATTTATTTTCATAGTTGTGATGTGGAGATATTTCACCTAACATCACTGAACCATGGTCCTATTAATAATGCGTTTTATCATTAGTAAATATTGGTAGTTTCTCTATTCGCTATTGTAAAATAAAAAATAAAAACCTACAGAAAAACTATCACATGTTTTAGGTTGAACTTCGACTTTAAAAGGAAATTGAATCGATGCGTCCATTTTTTTTACCAAGCAGTTCGTACATAATCCCATCTTTTGATTTTTTTTCGACGTTTGCTTCTTTATATTGTTATTTAATTTTGTCATTTCATTTATCCAGTGGGAAGCTTCGTTTGCTTCGTAATTATTCTATAATACATTCAAAAAACATATACATTTAATATATGGACAATGTTTTGTTAAAAATATTTATTTTCGTATATCCTATGTTTAATTTATTACGCATTCGTTTAAACTAATAAATCAAACGATATTTCTTCGCTGTAAACGTCCTGAAATTCAATAAAATTGACTCAAATATTTATTTAGTAATTTGGTAAAGATTTAGATGTTATAGTAAAAATAACTTAAATAATTTTTTTTCTAATTTATTTCTTCCTACTTATTATCTCAGCTTACTTTAATAATATATACATTTTATCGTAATTATTATTTAACATACATAATATAATTTATTGTACTTTCCAATCAAATAAACCAAATATAAATTAATCTGAAGTCTTAATATATTTTATTATTAATTTATATTAGTATTCTAATATGTCGAATGTTAAATATTTGAATATTTCATACCTTGTTTAGTACTTTTTTACAATCGTCAAATATGTTAATAGTTTTATTTTCATTAGTTATTTTTTCTCCAGGTGTAACATCATCGACAGGAAATGTTACATCAGGATTAATAGGGCCCTTAAACATAATTAATTATTAATCTTAATATAATTTATTAAAAATTGTATTATTAACCTGGATAACTTTGTGCTTTCCAATGAAAAACTCTGTTCTATCAGACCAAGGGTTAACAAAATTTGACCATTCCGTCTGTACTAAGGCAAAATCGCCATTTTGACATTTAAACCGGTAAGGTTTTCCTATATATGAAATACTTTTATCCCTTATCACTAAAAAAATTTAACGTATATTATATTAAATAAGTAAATGATAAAAATAAAAATGAAATTTTCTAATAACAATTTAAAATTTACTGTTTTCGTGAACTTCTCTAATCATTGTTATATCTTCATGTTTGAAATAGCTAAATATTGATCTACCGATAATATTTTGTGGTAGATAACCAAAATGTGAGATTATTAAATGATCAACATAGCACCATTCAAATAATGCATTATGTTTAGTGATAAAATTGACAGGGCTTTCTGGTCTTTCCTCAGGATCTAAATTTTGAATAACTCACAATTAATAAATTAATTAATTACAATCGTTGTTTTGACTTGTATTCTTTAATGTTATTACATGTGTATGCAGAGTGAACAAGCTGTGCGTTAACGATGAGAATTAATTGAGATCGTGAAATTTTTATTTCATTCACTAAATGTGATGATGATGCAGATACATATGACAAATCTTTAAATGTCGTTGTAAGTTTACAGACTTGATATTGATTTTTTCTTTGTGTTATTGGATATCCAGAATTTAAACCTTTATTCCTCTGCATGTTACAGTAGAATCCATCATTATTCTTAGATTTCAGAAATGTCACTGAGGATGTACCATCTAAATTTTTATTTTTTGTTTTTTTTTATGAAAAAATCACATTTTTAGGTGTTATAATTAATATTAAATACATATTTATATCTATATTAATATATATTTATCAACAGTTAAGAATAACTAAGTTATTCATTTAAATTATACATAAGGTTTTAATCAAATCCCATGGAATGTAGGAGAAAAGGAAAGTGAAATGGATCAAATAAAAAATTATACATAAATAAATTCGTACCATCTTCAACCATTTTTAAAATACTTTTTCCTTAAATACTTTTACTTTTACTTAAAACCTAAAAATATCATTTGTTATTCATGTAGTGCATAAGTAGTAAGTATACAATTACGGTCTAATACTTGCATCATGTTATTTTAACATAGTTAACATAATGTACACATGTATATATTTATAATATACAAGAAAACATGTAGGTATATAATATATTATATTCAATATAATAAAATATCATTTTTTCAAAAATGAATAATACATTTTGAATATCATTAATATTATTTCATTAGTTTAAACACTTTTATTAGAACATACCTTGTTTGGAAACCGTGTAAGGGTCTGTTAGAACAGATGTCACATAACTTATAAATGATATGCGATCATTAGGATGAATAAGATCAACAAATGAACGTCCTTGATACATATCTTTTGGGTAGCCCATATTTTTTTGAATACTATTGGACGTGTTGATGATAAGTCCATCGTTCATGGAAACAATAACACCAAACAAATCGTCATGAACTTCATTTGACTCGATAATTTCTTTTAATAACATTTCTTGATTATTTACTTCTTTCAGAATTGTATCTGAAAATAGTTAAAATATTTTTAAAAAGAGTTTTCATTTAGAATTATTACAAATAATATTAACTAGTGCATAACTATCACCTACGTCAAAAAATGTATATAAATATCAAAAATACTATTAATACAAACCTTTAATGGTAAATCTATGATTACCGTTTGAATTTTCAGTTTTCTGGTTTTTATGATCATGATATGATTGACATAAATTAGCTAAATGAAGAAAAGTTGTACTATTCTGTTCACGATTACTTTTAGTGTCTTCCTTTAAATGCTTAGGCTTATCAAATTCAACTTTTGATGTTGACGGTAAATCTGTCAGATCTCAAATTATAGTAAATATTTTTATTTATTAATGCTTAGGTAATTATTTATAACATACCATCTGTGCTAAATAATTGACCACTTTGAGGTTCAAATTTTGTTAAAATCATTTGTTCGGATTTTAAATTATCATCATTTGATTCTTGATTAGTTGTAGTTTCCAAACCAGACACATATCTTAATGTTGTTTGGTTTTGTGTTTCATTAGATGTATTTAAAGTAGACAGTTTACTAAATATTAAAACGTGTAACTAAAAATGTTTAGATTTGTGTCTTATAAAATATACTTATATATTTGTGAAAAAACGGTAAGATAATAGTTCCATATGAAATACATTTTTTGTGTTTATCGTATAATAATATAGCTTTATTGATATTTGATATAAATTATCCTGCAAGATATATTATTTTAAATGAAAGGTTAGTTTAATATAAATAAAAATAAAATAAATCGATAGCCAAATTATTAAAAAATAATTATATTTATGATTCCAAAATTTTTACAAATGTATTTTTTTTTATTTGAATGTTCTAGAAAAATTAAAGTAGTAATACGAAGTTGTTTTGAACTTCCTTGATGTTGTATATGAGACTTAATTATATTACATTTTGTATACTACGGTTTTACCGTAATTGCGTTTAAACTCTAAACGTTAACCAAATTAGTCTTTTTTTTTAGTTTTTTCTTGCGTCTAGAAATAAGAATCTAATTTAGAAAAACCATTAATAAAAAGTTCTCATTTTAATAGTTACTGCATAATTTTTTTTTTTTTTCATTTAAATAAACCATTATCACTGTCACTCAATACGAACTATTATGTTTCATACTTACTACGTACATAAGTGTATTAAAAAAAAATATAAATCAAAACCTTGATTTTTTTTAATGAGCTTTGATACTAATACTTAAGCTAAAATTATTTTTATATTATTAAATACAATACATTTCATTGAGAAGCATTTATTATACACATAAAACTATTTAAATTGATAAGTATAATTTAATATTTTCAAAATTACCGTATGAGATCTCAGAAATATATAAACGGATATTAATTCAACTATTTACCCTTTTTCAGCAGATTCCGATGTAGTTAATCTTCTTTCGTCAAAACAACTGTCTCCACTAGATGCACTTTGGCTGTGACATAATTTTACACTATGATTAATAAAATAAGTATATTTCATTAACAAATTACATTGGTATTCATAGAGAATATGTTTAGATTACAATATTAATTTAAAATGAAAAATGCAAAATAAAATATATTAACCTTCAACTAGGAAATATTTATATGTGGCTAAGTCAATAAAAAGCTTCAGGTGCCTATCCGATTTCGAATGTTGGCGACCATTCCGGACAGATAGTCTAGATCTTAGTCAGATAGCTATATCGTACGGATTCCGCTAGACAACTCTATCGGCGAACATTTGCTAATGTTTTTTTTGTGTCTAACCAATAGTTATTTGGTCGACATTTTTTTCAAAAAATACCAAAACCACCTACATGCGATTTTCAATTATATACGAAAATCTCACTCATTTAAAAACTATACTATCTACAGTGAACGATTACATAGGTATCGATGAACTTAAATTCTCTACGATTATTATGTTTTAAGTTTGGATGAAAACAAAAATTTAATTTGGTCGTAAACCGGTTTGCCGTAAATGTCATTTTTGTGTAACTTTTCATCAGTTTATAACAATTATTAAAACAACTATCGGGAAATTCACTAAAAGACCCACCCAAAGTGTATCTATAAATGGTATGCCAATGACAATATAACCATCATATCATGGAAAAAAAAATAAACAACATACAATTTTGTAAAAATAACAACATCAACAACAATTCAAAGCGTTAGTTTACACTTTCTTGTATATTTGTACCTCTACCCTTCAAGGTATCATTTCCAAACCGCTCATCGATTTTTTTTAGTCAACGAAATTATCAAATAAATGTCCAAAACTAAATAAAATTATGATTTTGTATCGTTTATAGGAAAATATAATAAATGTACAAAAAATATCATTTTTTTTTTTTTCTCGGTGGTCATAAATATTATATTTAAACTACATTGTTCGTGTGCGTATAAATAATTATCGCACTAAGAATAACAGTTCTTACATTACGGTGTTACGTTTTTTTTTTTTTTTTCGAACACGTGTAATAAAGTTTTGAATTACCTGTATTTCGATTGTAACGACGTGCACGAATAACCGGAATCGTCTCCCGATTGGCTTTGTTTCACCGTGAACTGTTTGGTTTCTTCCATCTTTAAACGGTTCTGCGACTCAAAAACTTATCTGCAACATAAAGCGGGTAAGTGGTTTTTTCTCTCTCTCACTCTTTCCCTTCTAAACAACATCGTACCGCGCCGCGCTAACGTTTTGGTGCGTTTCCGATTTCCGGAGTGGAACTCGAAAAAGAAGTTGAACGCGACGGAAAACTATGTTCACGTAGTGTGTACTCGTTTCGCGTTACGTCCCGGCGCGTGCAGGTACGCGACACGACTGCTGTTACCGTATTCTTAACGGAACGGTTTACTTCTCGTTGTCGTGCGATTTTTATATTTTCTGTCCCGAGAGAAAAACCGAATGATATGGTAAAAGAAAAACCGCTGTTACACCGGTCAACGGAGATCGGGCCGATTTTTACCGGGCGCGTGTCGCGATGCCGGCGCGGTAAACTCGACGCGGTGGACAACGTGAAACTTTGTCGGCGTGCGGTGTCGGTGTGGGTTCGATCGTCGGTCGCGTCGTCGTGCGCGGCGCGCGAACGGGCCGAGGGGCGTCGACTCGTAGGGGATGGCCGATTTGGAGTGGGAGGGTGAGAGCGATGGAAAACCCGAGTGACGCGGCTCGGCGGCGGCGGGAGGAAGAGACCTTTTCGCGCGGCCACGTGGTCGCACGTCTCACGTGTCGCGACCGTACATGTGCGGCCCAACG